CTAAAACTAAGAAGTATAATTTATATGCTTAGTGAGGAAATAAAATGAAAGCACATAAAATGCTCAATTAAAATCAGAGAAGAGAGAAAAAGAATGGAAGACAAAAAAAAAAGGACCAGAGCAACAGGAGTGCATATGGAACAGCTACAACTATGGTAGATAATAATCTAACTATGTGTGTTAATAGCCACTTTAAATGTGAATGGTCTGAATGCAGGAATTAGTACATAGGAGCTATTAGAACAGACTAAAAAACAACCTCCAGCTATATATTGCCTGTATGAAACAGACTTCACTATAAAGACACAGATAGATTAAAAGCAAATAGATGAAGAAAGATACACAATACTGACACCAATCAAAAGAAAAACAAAACAGCTATGTTAATTTCAGGCACAGCAGGTTTCAGGACAAGGAAAACCACTAGGGATAAACAGGGCCATTACATAATGATAAAAAGGGTCAATTCTTCAAAAAGATATAACAACCTTTAATGTGTATATTCCTAACAATAATGTCAAAAGACATGAGGAAAAAACTGATAGGACTACAAGCAGAAAAAATATGAATCCACTATTATAGTTGAAGATTTCAACACCCCTCTATCAATAATTGACAGATCCAGCAGGCAGAAAATCAGTAAGAACATAGTTGAACTGAATAGCACCATCAATCAACTGGATCTAATTGACATTTATAGACTACTTCATCCAACAACAGCAGAATACACATTCTTTCCAAGCTCATGTGGAACATTTACCAAGATAGACCACATCCCAGGCTACAAAACATGCCTTAACAAATTTACAACAACAGACATCATACAAAGTATGCTCTCAGACCACAGTAAAATTTAATTAACAACCAGTAACAGCTAGAAAATCCCAAAATATTTGGAGATTAAACAATATTTCTAAATAATACATAGGTTAAAGAAGTCTCAAGATAAGAAAATATTTTGAAATAAATAAATAAAAATGCAACTTACTAAAATTTGTGAGTTGCAGCAAAAGCAATGCTTAGAGGGACATGTGTAGTACTGAGTGCATACATTAGAAAATGAGAAAGATCTAAAATCAATCACCCAGTCTTTCACCCTAGAAACTAGAAAAAAAAAACAAATTAACTCCAAAAACTCCAGAAAAAATATAATAAAAATTAGAGCAGAAATCAATGAAATTTAATACAAAACAACACTAGAGAAAAATCAACAAAACAAAAACTGAATTTTTGAAAAGATAGACAAGACTGATAAGCCTCTAGATAGGAGAGTAAACAAAATTACTAATACCAGGAATGAAAGAGGGAGAAAAAATAAAAAAGAAAGAGGAGGTACTGCTAATTATGCCATGGGGTTGTAATAATAAAGATATATTATGAACAACTCTATGGCTACATATTTGATAGGTAAAAGGGACAAATTCTGTGGCTTGCTGTTAGAGAATAGGATATGGTAAAAGTGATGGTATATCTCTTCTGAGAGTAAAAGACCATCTCTTGGCCTGCTACCTCCCATCAAATACTATGTTGTGAGGAGACTCAGAAAGTCTGTAAATAGACCCACATGACAAAGAATCAAAGCCTGGCAGCAGCCACCTAAATTAACTTAGAATCAGACCTTATGGGATATGGTGACACATTCCTGTAATCCCAGTAGTCTTGGAGGCTGAGGCAGGAAGATTGCAAGTTTGAGCCCAGCCTACTTGACTTAGAAACTTACTGAGATGCTGCCTCAAAAAACTGGTTTTAAAAAAAGGGCTAGGGATGTAGCTCAGTGCAAAGACCCTAGGTTCAGTCTCCAGCATAGGGAAAAAAAAGCAAATGATACTGTAACAATGACAGATTGAGTGTAACCTTGAACCAGAGATAACTGACTAAGCCATGCCTGGATATCTGACCTAAAGAAGTTGTAACACAGTAAATGCTTGTTATTTTAATTTCTATGTATTTGGAACAATTTGTTATGCAGCAGTAGATAACTACTATACCTTCTGACCAGGAAATCCTACTTCAATATATCAACACTAATCGAAGCAGTTTTTCTAATCTTTTTACACATCAGAACATATCCTAGAAATCCTAATATAGTGGTACCTCGATTTATGAACTTAATTCTTTCCACGATTCTCTTCACAAAATCAGATTGGTCGAGAACCAAATCAAATCCAATGGTTAGGTTCACTGTTGACCTTATGGGGAAATTTGATTCAGTTCCTGTCTAATTTGATTTGCAACCAGAATCATGGAAAGAATTAAGTTTGTGAATGGAGGTGCCACTGTACTTGTACCATCTCACTGGGATAAGTAGATGTCTGTTATGGGCTAGAGATAATTGTGCCCACGGGTTGCAGCTGGGGAAGAGAGGCCCATCTTCCTGGAAGGCTGTGGGAATCAATCCACTGAAACACCCATAAACCAATTGAGAAGCTGTGCCCTAGAGAAACTCCCATATAGGCACAAGGAGCCATGCAGTAAGATGTCCATTGATTCCTCATAATTGTACAAGACAATTTAAATCCATCAGTAGGGAAAGAAGTAAATTGCATAATTTTTGCAGCAATTCTATACAATGAGTATGTTACAGTAATATTACACTAGATAATATTATCCAAAGATAATATTGAGTGAAAATTTAAGATAATATTGAGTGAAAATTTAATATTATCCAAAGATAATATTGAGTGAAAATTTAAGCTGTGAAAGGATGTATTTATCATTATACAGCCTATATAATTTAAAACATACAGATCCATAATCATAAAAACAGCATGGATAAAAAGGAAATACATCAACTTCCAAACGGGACTTATTTGCAGGAAAATAGTTAAGGTGAATAAGATAAACTGAGCATGATGGTGCATGACTGTAATCCTAGCACCTTTGGAAACTGAGGCAGGAAGCTTGAAAGTTTGAGCCTGAGCGATTAGCAACTGAGCCAGACCCTGTCTCAAAATAAAATAATAAATGATGATGATGATTATGATGATGATAGGCTGGACATGTAGCTCAGTGTGAAGCCCTACCACTATATTAGGATTTCAATCTCCAATACCAGAGAGGGAAAAAAGATGAACAGAATCAGGATATCAGCTGTAATTTTTTGTTCTGAAAATAGAAGGATCTGAGGACATAAGGGAATAAAGTTTGTTCAGTCTATGTGGCAGACACATTCAAATGTGTGTTTATGGGGCTGGGGATATAGCTCAGTGGCATAAGCGCCTGTCTGGCAAGCGTGAGGTCATGAGTTCGATCCCTGGTACCAAAAAAAAAAAAAAAAAAAGAGAGAGAGAGATTCAAATGTGTGTTTTACATTCTATTAGTTTCTGTATGTTTGAAATATTTAATTTTGGGGGGGTTGTTGATTTTGTTTTTTGAGACAGGATCTCACTATGTATGTAGTTCAGGCTGACCTTGAATTCACTATGTAGTCCTGGCTGCCTTTGAACTTGTGGTGATCTTCTTTCCTCAGCTTCCGAAGTCCAGGGATTACAGGCGGGTACCACCATGCTGGTGTTAGAAATATTTTAAATGTTTTTAAAAAAGAAAATGCATTCTCTCCGGGTACAAAAATGAATATACATTATGTCAGGCTTATTCATCATATTGTTTGACCTTCTTACGTTCTTATTATTTTGCTGTCTGATCCATGTGTACCATACAAGCGTGGGTTAAGTCTTCCACCCCAGTTGCAGGCTTACTGATCTTTTTTTAATATTTCTGATAGTATTTACTTCATGTATTCTGAAATCGCATTGTTTGGCACATAAATTTCCATGATTATATCTTTTCTGGAGAATGAAACAACTTGTTCTCTCTGATGCTTTTTACTTTCACCTCTTTGTTTTTGTAGTACTATTGCTAAAAGTCTCTCCCCTCCTTTCTTTCCTTTTTTCCCTTTTTGCTCTTTCCTTCACCTCTATCTTTCCTTTTCTTTGTTTTCTGCTACTCTTTAACTGGCATATATTTCCATTTTTGTTTCTGTTTTATGTGAAACTCATCTAAACTTTTAAAATGGAAAGCCCAAAATAAAAGTTTGCTTTTTAATAGGAGATGATAACCCACAGCATATATCAATATATTTGGATTTATTGTTGTTCTTGTGTTTTCTTTTTATATCTTTTCTTCTTGCACCCCCTACCTCATATTTTGCCCTTCATTAGAACTTTTGTTAGTTCCACGTGTTATTCCTTTAATGGTTTGAAATTTGTACACTCTACTTCTAATGTTTCCCCTAAACGTTTTTGAACTATTACAGTCTTTTTTTTTTTACAGTCTTTTATGTAAAAACAAAACTTTGGGCCGGGGATATAGCTCAGTGGCATAAGCCCTTCCTTGCCTGATAAGTGCAAAGTCCTGAGTTTGATTCCCGGTACCAAAAAAAAAAAAAAAAAAAAAAAAGAACAAAACTTTGCTGCTGTTGTGAACATGGAAACTCTTTACATTGATTTCATTTAAAAAATACCTTAAAACCGTATCAACCCCAAAGGCATACCTATGCTGTTTATTAAATTGTGGTGCAATAACCAGAATGTAAATTCACGTTCATGATTGATCCTTTCTTTTGAACAAGTTTGACTTTACAACGAACAGCAACAAATTCCACACCGGTTTCAATTTGTTTCAACCACCAGGTTTAAAAAAAAAAAGTTAAGCTTACTGGAACTCTAAATAGATGCACATTTTTAATACTCCCAGACAAACCATACCATATAACGTATGTGATACAGTAATATAATTACTCTCATATTGGAATTAATCAGAAAGGATTTGCAGATTTCGTTTTATTAAAAATAAACCAGAATCGAAAGGAATGTGGCTAAATGTTTAACATTTGTTAACGCTGGCTGTTTGGTACATTTTTGCTGTCCTTTTCTGCATCCTTGACGATTTCATCATTTAAAATGAAATAGTGCTCTCGGGCTCACCCGGGGTTGGTGAGAGCAGCCCCCTCCCCCGCGCGCGCCACATCCAGGGGGCGGGCTCCAGTGACGTCACAGTAACTTCCGCCGCAGTCATAGCCAGCCCCTCCGCTCCGTGCCGGGGGAGGAGCCCGAGACCCGGAGCGGCGGCTCTGGCGGTCGTGGCGATCCGAGGTCCAAGAGCTTTGCTCCTTAGAAGAGCCTGTGGCTGTCCCAACTGGGTGAGTGAAAGACGGATCGTGTCCGTGGTTCATCCCTGTGCTGGCGGTGGGGCGAGTCGCGGGGCGCGGGCGCGAGGGGCTGGGGGTGATCTGGGGACTCTCCAGGTTCGCCCCTCGGGAAGGGGTGGGGCGGAGGGGAACCTGCCTACAGAGTGAGGCAGTGTCCTCCGGCCTGAGGGGGGCCCAGCCTCCTTCGCTGACCCTTCGGCACAGCGCCCATGAGGGAGTAGATTTTATGGCTATCCGAGAGGGGAGTGGTTGGTGGTCGCGGCCTTCTGGCACTTCTACCCGCCGCTCTTTCCTCCCTCCTCGGCCGCCGTGAGGAATATCCCACCCCACTCCCTACTTTGCTGCTGTTTTGCCTAATGGTAAACGGTTAACATTTTTAGGTAAAAACAGTTTTCTCAGAAGAATTGTCAGGAAAAATAATTTATTCTTGTGGAAAAACTACGTTCACACACGTCCTTTCTTTTGCCCCGTTCCCTGCCACAATGATGGGAGTCTGCCCTTTGAGCTGGTAACATTTTCCTGACTCTTCTTACACCGCCCCCCGTGTTGTACCCGATGTGCATGCACACACACTGAAACCTTCCATGGCAGCCCCCTCCCTGCCCCTGCGTACTCGAGGTTCCACTGGGTCCCCTCCCCCGCGCATGCGCAAACATGCACACCCGCACCCTCTCACACACCCTCCCGTGCCTTTCCCTGACACACAGCACGCAAGCATTCACACATGACTTCAGACCTTCTCCTGCCCTACCCCATCCCTCACAACCTACCACATGCACACCTCTAGATCCCATCCCCTCCCTCCTCTTACGGGCTTCGGTCCTCTTGTATGCTCCAGCATGCATGCACACGCACACACCCTCCTTCTCCCTGCCTGCCATATGCACACATAAGGACATCCTTTTGTTGCTGGCCACTAAGACATACCCCCCCCCACGGGTCAGACACCCTTCTCAGATGTGCTCCTGCTCTGCCCACCAGGTGCATAAACGTCCCTCCTTTGCTGGTCCCCATGGTACACCCTCACACTGGTAGAAATCCTTCTCTGGGGACACTGCCCCCTTCCTGCCTGCTGTATTCACATATGTGGACAGTCTGATTGCTGGCCTCTGTGCCATCTGCCCCATGCACACATTTCTCTCTCGTATTGCTGCCACCCTGCCCTTCTTGCATTTGCTTACACTGACATTTCTTCATTTTTGCCTTCCGTTTTGACCAACACATACATACTCATGCACGCACAAACTCTCTCACTCTCCTCTCCATTGCCACCGTAGCTTTCCCTACTTCTGATGTACACATAACACAGGCTTCCTTCCATAATTCCAGCTGCCACACATACAGCTCCAACTACTCTGACTCCCATACTCATACACACCCCTCTCCTGAAGCCACCCCACTCATGCCTGCTATCTTTGTACCTATATTCAGAATATAGGTTCATTCTAGCACTACGCCCTTTCCCCTACACACATAGACATCCCTCCATTGCAGGATTGCTGGCTCCCTGTCCACCTGTCCGTCTCCTGATGGACAGAGGCACTCATGTACACACAATGATCTATATTTTCCACTCTTCCAATTTGCATTTCTCCTCTAAATCTGCAAGGCTCAGAAAAACACAGACATCTCATAAAAACAAACAAACAAATCCACAGCAGACTTTTCTCTTCCTAACTTTGGCACAGTTCCACAGTACTTCACCCACATTTCAAGTACCTCGTCACCTTCCACCTTCTGTCAGTCACATTCTCCCCCAAGTCTGGCCTTCCTACAAACCCAGTTTTGTAATCATTTTGCCAACGTTACAAATGTGTTCCAGGTCTACACCTGACAATCACTGGAATGCAACTTCAGGCCTTAGAAGAAAGTGAAACTAATTTAAAAGGCCCCTTATCCCAGTTACCTGCCTGCTGAAGTGAAAATAGATCTCCCTGCTCCTTTATTCTGAACTGATTTGACTTGTCCAGCTCAAAAAGGTACACAGGGAGCAGGAGCCCCTGCTGTATTGGAAGCCCTCCTAAGTCAGAGCCATGGGTCAGGAATCTAGTAAGCCTATATGGCCCAAACCAGGAGGGTATCAGTCTAATACAGGCAGGAGGTATGGAAGAAGGCATGCTTATGTCAGTTTCAGGCCATCCACCAGCCAGCAGGAAAGGATTGCCAGCCAGAGAAAGACTACATCCGAAGTCCCAATGCACAGATCAGCCCCCAGTCAATCCACCAAGAGAAGCCGGTCGCCATTTTCCACCACTCGTCATAGTTGGGACGACTGTGAGAGCTCAGGTGCCAGCCCGAATGCTGAAAATGAGGACTATTCCAGGTATCTGCCAAGAGAGTACAGGGCTTCTGGGAGCAGAAGAGGAATGACTTATGGACATGTTGATGCTTTTGGGGCAGATGATAGTGAGGAGGAGGGGGCTGGGCCTGTTGAGCGACTGCCAGTGAGAGGGAAGACTGGCAAGTTTAAGGAGGATAAGCTGTATGACCTGGAAAAAGGGGCAGAGTCTCTGGCAGGGGTGCCTCCCCACTTTGCCAGTTTCAACCACAACGTGAGAGAGGAGTTTGACAAGTTCGACCCATCCCCTGCGGCAAGACGCTCTGCTACCAGAGCAGAGTTTCTGAGACAACATAGCGTGGCTTCTCAGACATCTGTGGAAGACAGTGGAGACATCTTGGAGAGGGAGAGACAGGAGCATAATTTCTGTGCACAGGCCAGCAGGGCCCCTGTGAACATCTGTGATGGCAGGGAAAACACCCCAAAGAATGCAGAGGAACCAGTAGTGAGGCCTAAAGTCCGAAATGTGGCAAGTCCAAACTTCATGAAACCAAAAATATTTTTTGATACCGATGATGATGATGATGATGATATGCCACACAGTACGTCCAGGTGGAGGGACACTGTCAGTGCTGATGAAAGTCGCTCAGCTGGCCTAGCAAGAAGAGGCAGAGGTGAGAGTTCAAGTGGTTACTCTGAGCTGAAGTACCCTGAAGACAAGAGGGAAGCCAGGAATGACCAAGTGAAACCAGAGAAGGTGCCCAGGTGGCGACGAACCGTGGTTGACCCTGACTTCTGGACATACAATGAGGAGAACAACAGATACTTTGATGAAGACTCTGACAGTGAGAAAGAATGGATGGCTGCCCTACGCTGGAAGTATAGAAGTCGAGAGCAGCCCCTGTCATCCAGTGGTGAGAGCTGGGAGACTCTGCTGGAAAACGAAGAGCAGGAACCTCCACAAACTAGAGTGAGCATGAGTGCTGCTGGTGTCAGCTCTGGCCCCGGTGCCCAAGTCAGTGAGGTTGCCAGCACCAGTGCTGGTGCCAGTGCAGGTGCTGGTAGCAAGGGTAGTAGCTATCTTGAGGAAGTTCAAGAGCCATCCCTTCAAGAAGAGGAACAGCCATCCCTGGAAGAAGGAGAAATTCCTTGGCTCCAGTACAACGACAATGAGAGCAGCAGTGAGGGAGATAATGATTCTGGTCATGAGTTGATGCAGCCTGGGGTATTCATGCTGGATGGAAACAACAACCTCGAAGATGACTCCAGTGTCAGCGAAGACCTCGAAGTGGATTGGAGCCTCTTTGATGGCTTTGCTGATGGGCTAGGAGTGGCTGAAGCCATCTCTTACGTGGATCCTCAGTTTCTCACCTACATGGCCCTCGAAGAGCGCCTGGCCCAGGCGATGGAAACTGCCCTTGCGCACTTGGAGTCCCTTGCGGTGGACGTCGAAGTGGCCAATCCGCCAGCAAGCAAGGAGAGCATTGACGCTCTTCCTGAGATCCTGGTCACTGAAGATCATGGTGCGGTGGGTCAGGAAGTGTGCTGTCCAATCTGCTGCAGCGAGTATGTGAAGGGCGAGGTGGCAACTGAGTTACCATGCCATCACTACTTCCACAAGCCGTGCGTGTCCATCTGGCTTCAAAAGTCAGGCACCTGCCCTGTGTGCCGCTGCATGTTCCCTCCCCCACTGTAACGACTAGGGCTCTTTATTCCTGGTTTCATCATCATCCCCGTGTGAAACACACTACTGCGGGAGCCCTCTCAGAAGTCATGCAAAATGAAGCCAGTTGGTCAATTAAACTAAACCTGTTGATTCCTTGTGATTATTTCTAATGTGAAATGGCTGTGTATGAATGCATTAAAAATCACTTGTCATTTAGAGGTTAGAAAGGGCCAACTAAACTTTCTAAATGCTACTTGACATTTTCTAACCTGAAAGTTGAAATAATTCACATTTATTTTCTTCAGTAGATATGTTGCTCTTAATTGTAATGTCAAGTTTTACATGTTAAATATGTCCCAAAAGAAATCATTTTTGTTGCATGTTCCAGGTTAATGTTCCTGTAATTGCAGTGCTATAAAAGCTTATTAAAGTCTTTTGGTTTTACATGGTATAACAGGATTGTTTGGTTTTATCTGAGGTAGTGGTACCAAAAGTGACTTTATAGTCAGTCCCTTGTATTCATATAAAAAATGAGGGGGTGTCTTTTTTGTTGTTTTTTTAGTGTTCCCAACAGTAGAATAACTTTAGTTTTCACTCAAAATGCTGACCCCAAAAACAACATGCATGTGTGTGTGGGTGAGTGTGTGTCTGTAATGACTTTTTATTTTTTGTAATTTTTATTTATTTATTTTTGTAATGATTTTTTAAAGTAGGAATAAAATACATAATTGTCTACTATAGGGGAAAGGTAGAATAGAGAAAGAAGGAAAAAAGAAACAATGAGATATCATGGTAACGATGGTAGGAATAAATTCAAACTGATTGTGGGGATGAATAAGTTAAAAATCACCTTTAAGAAAATTGAAACTCTAAGAGGGAATGGGTAAAAATAAATAAAGCTGTATGCCAATTACATACCGTAACACTATGACATAGATAGTGGTAGAAGAATATACGCCAGACAGGAACTTCAGGAAAACAGAGGTATCCACTTACAGCATGAACGGGTTTTAACATGTGGCCATATTTGCTTTAGATTGCTCTTCTCTCTAATAAGAATTTTCAGGCATAGGTGAAGTTCCTTACCCCACCGTATTTACCATCACTCTCCCATGGATATAAGCACTACCCAGAAAATGTTCTATTTGTTGTCTGTAGGTTTATACAGGAATGTGTGTATTTGTGTATATTAGTATATATGTCTCCATAACCAAGAGAGTACATACGTTTTAAAGCATAGTGGGTAGGGGGCTGGGGATTTAGCTCAGAAGGCAAAGCGCCTGCCTGGCAAGCGCAAGGTTGTGAGTTCGGTTCCCGGTACCGGAGAAAAACAAAAACAAAAAAAAAAACAAAAAAAAACACAACAAAGCATAGTGGGTAGAATAAGTGCTGTCATTTTGCAACTTGGTTTTTTCACTCAGCACTTCCGAGACACAGCCATTTTAGTGTGTGTAGTTTTTACTGCCCTATACAAATATTCAGTTGTATGAATTAGCAGAGTTTCTGTATTCCCCTATGGGTGGACATTCAGGTCCTCACCAGCATTTTGTGGCAGGGAACGTACTACAAAGATAGCCCTTTTGCACACATTGGTGGGTTTCTCTAACGGTAAGTGCACACTAGTAAAAGGTCTGGGCCCCAGAATTTGAGACTCTCCCCCTCAGCTGGACACTGCCAAACTGCTTTCCTGAGTGGGTGCACTAATATGCCCCTACCAACCTTTTATGAGGCCTGTTTCCTCATACCTGAAAAGCCCAGATAGTGTTAGCATCCAGTATCACTGGGAATCAGTGATGTATAAATTAACACACCAGTGAAACACTGTACCCATAAGAAAGCAATAGTTTTTCATACTGATCACACCTAGATTGGGCTAAATGAGAAGATTTCAGGAGTTGGTGTGCATGTAAATTATAGCAGCTTTTTTAGAGAGCAGTTCAGACAGTAGCTGTCAATAGGTAAAGTAGCCCATGTCCTTCACCCATTTTGGATACTTCGGTAGTATGGAATTAATGCTATTCAGCATTAATTTCTGTGTTAAATACCGATGTGAAAAGATCTCCAAGATGTAATGTTTGTAAAAAAGAGCATAGTGTAGAAAAATACGTACAGTCTTAATGTAAAATAGAACCTTACAAAACCAAACTATACATGAAATGCATAAAAATATCTGGAAGGCTGCTACCTGATGGTAGAGGATACCTCCAGGAAAGAATTGAGGACTGGGGCAAAGGAGTGAAGAAGGGCTTTGGATTTTCCACTGCAAATAATGCATTTTCTTGATTTTTTGTGAGTGTCACTGTATATTCACAAATATTAACAAAATAAGGCTGCTCTGGAAGTCAGCCTGAAGGCAAAATTTAAAAATTGTCAGCCAAGTATGGTGGTGCATGCTACTTGAGGGGCCAAAACAAGATTGCAGGTTTGATCCCACCCCAAGCAACTTAGCCAGACCTGGTCTCAAAATAAAAAGGTCTGAGGGTATAGCTCAGTTTTACAGCACTTGCCTGGCATGCACACAGCTCTGGGTTCAAACCCCAATACCACAAAAAAAAACTTTTTTAAAGTTAGCTTTCTCCCATTACACATACAGAAACATGGATAGAAGCCACAGTCCTATTTCTGCAACTGGTCAAGCTGATCCTATGACTTCATTCCTCACCAGCCACTCCACGTTCCCCCGCTTGGTCTTATGCCAGCACCTCAGCCAGTGATGGAGACTCCAAATCTCAGTCCTTGCAGGGCTCTTTTTGGTGGGTCGTGGTGATTTGTCATGACCGTTTTGTGTGCCCTGACTAGCACCACACAGGAGGTACTTTAGGAGCATCCTTGGGTCCTTATCATCTTCCTCCCTACTCCCATGGCATAGCAGTGACCCTACTTTCCCGTTAGTCAAAATTACTTAATCCAGAGTAAGCACCTACCCAGTATCCACAGGCTCCTGCTGGTGTTGGAAAAGCCTGCCACTGCAGAGCTTGGGGCAGGGCAGCTCTGCCAGGAAGACTCAGAAGGCCAAGTTGTGGGCCCTTGGGGTCCTGAACAGCTCAGATGGACCTGGAGCCCCAGGTAAGGCTGTCAGAAATCTGGAGGGAGGAAGTTCAAGAAACGGGTGTTCTAAAGGATTTGTACCTGTGCTGCTATGGTGGTGATGACGGTGGCAGCAGCAGCAGCAGCAGTGGCAATACAAGGCCACAGTGGTGTGGAGCCCCTCCTCAGGGTGTTGGGACCATAGCTGCAGTGGCAGGCTATGGCTGCGCCTTTGGCTGCCCAGTTCCCTTGTCCTGCTAGTTTCTGATTTTCCAACCTCCCTGACAGCTCCCCAAGCTCCTCCGTAGCTTTCCAATACAATATTTCTGATTACATTAACTAGAGCTGTTTTCTGTCATTTGTAACGAAGAACCCCAAATGCTACGTATGCTAGCACTGTAACCCACATTTGTGCCTGTTTTCTTTGTCATCTGAAGTATCCCACATGGTCAAGAGTCAGGCAATTGCTGTTTAAAATGCAATGGACTCATTACTGACACCAGGAGCCATGGTTCTAGAACAGCAGGCTTCAGGGGCTTCTAGACACAAAACAGTCATTTCTGAAAGTAGGTTACTTGGTATGTTCATTGAAAGTACCACCACACTTTGTTTTTTGTTTTTGGCATTGTTTTCTGGCCATGGGGTAAATAACCCCAAATTTTGGTCACTAATTTGGAGCATAAACCTCTACCTCTTACCAGACAACACGCTAACTTCCTGAGGTGCCCTGCCTAGCTGGCATCACAGCTGCACCCTTCTAAGATCTCTACTGGGCTCTAAGGTGCTGCTGCTCATAGCCCTCTGTTCCTGCAAAAACCCTTCCATATCTGTGCCTCTGGACCCTGAAATGGCCTTCCCAGCCCTGTCTCAATTCTATTCATACTTTAAAAGGTTCCTATGCTGGCTTTTGAAAAACTATTTGGATATCCTGTAGCTTCTCCCCTCTCTGTGTCTCCCATCTTAAGTTTCTGAGATCAAGAGCTTGGCCTGAGTCATTTCTACAGCCCTGGCATACATGCTTGACAAGTGTTTGGAAACACTTGCTGGCAGGGTGACTAGATTCCTCTCCCCAAGTGGGCTTGGGTGTGCTATGAGAGCCAGCAGGATCATGGCAGCCTGGCCCAACCAGGCTCCAGTGGCCCAGTCTTAGCCCCCTCCCCTGCTTCTGGTGCCCCTGGCATCCCTGTCCCTCCCTTCCTCCCACCCTCTTGTGGCCTCAACTTCTGTCCCATTTTCTGTGTGTCCTGCCAAATCCCCAAGTGTTTTGGAGACTGTCCTCAGGCTTAGGACCCGTAGAAATGAGGTGGCATGTGAAGGCATGCTAGGTGGAACCTCTGACTGATAGGGTAGATAAGGCACTGGCCCACCTAGCCCCAGCCTGGGACAAAGTGCTGACATGGAGCAAGCCGAATCCGGGGGCCCCTGAGCCACCTCTTCCACTGCCCCATTGGTGTCTGTAGAATGCTACTTTGCAAGCCCTGTATGCCTCTCGTGTTCCTGTTTCTTGCTTCCCACCTTCATTATCCTGATGTGTGTGCATGTGTGCGTGCGTGTGAGCTCAGTGAGGCTTCACAGTCCCTTACACTGGTTCCACTTTCCCAGATCCCTTTGCATTTAGTCAGTTTCACTGGCTCCTTCCAGAAGGTGAGTGACAAAGAGATTGGGTTCGGAAAGGGAGTGGTCTGAGGACAGCAGAAATACCCCCCCACTCCGTGGGGGAGGGCAACAGGAACGTGTTTTCCACACCAGCTATAGTCCCTGGTGGTGAGGGGCAGGCAGGGATCTGGATGTTGGTGGTGATAGTGTAAAAGCCTGAGCCACCCCCAGCTAGGCCCCATCCAGTTCTTCTGGTCACAAGTGCCATGTGCAGGACCCTGTAGACCAGCCTGAGGGCACCAAGACAAAAGGACAGGAGGCATTTTGGTGGGAAGAAGAAGAGAAACAGATATGTAGGAGGCCCCCTGCCAAGGTGCTGGGGGCTGGGGGCATGTTCACAGAGTCAGAGGCATGTGGCTGACATAAAGCCTGGGAGCTAGCCTGAAGGCAAGTAGGGACTGGGGATACAAACTTGTAGAGACCGATCAGGAACCCAGTCCGAGGTACTGCTTGATGAGAACCACACTTGCATTCAGCAAATAAGCTGGAGATTCAGATCTGACTAGTTTACTTCAACAAATATTAATTGAGCTTCTGTCTGTGGTACATTAGACCAGGGTCTGCAAGAGATGAAAATGCTCAGTCTTTCCCTCAAAGAGCTCGAAGTCTAGTGAGGAAGATAGACTGGTAAGAGGAGGATTGCAGCGGGGCGTGGTGGTGCATGCCTGTAATCCTAGCATTCTAGAGGCTGAGGCCCGAGGATTGCAGAGAGTTTGAGGCCAGCCTGGGCTACATGGTGAGCTCAAGGTCAGCCTGAACTACACAGTG